CCATGTTAACCAGGATGTTTTTGAACTGCTGGCCTTGTGATCCGCCCACCTCAACCTCCCAAAGTGCTGGGATTACAGGCATGAACCACTATGTCCAGCTAATTTTGTAGTTTTAGTAGAGACGGGGTTTTGCCATGTTAACCAGGATGTTTTTGAACTGCTGGCCTCAAGTGATCTACCTGCCTCGGCATCCTAAAGTGCTGGGATTATAGGCATGAGCCACCATGCCTGGCCTGGAGCTAAGTTCTAACCAAATGGTTTGACCAGCCACAAGCTGATTAGTGGCATCCAATCACCAGCATCTAGGCACGAAAACAACTTAATTATAAGATCTAAGCTAAATGTTAATTAATCTTGCCTCTACAAAAGGATTTCAGATGTTATTCACTAAATTAATAAATAAAAGAAATGGCTATACTTGAAAAAATTACCGTCTACAAGTATGAAATTTAAAGGAAGATATGACTGTCTAAGCTATAGCAATTTGGGGCTTAATGCCTCTCTTGATGCTAGCAACCTGAATAAGACAGCAGGTTTCAAAAAGGACAATGGACATTACTTAAATGTCCCAGTTTATTCACCCTGAAACAGATGCAGAGATATTAAGCGATTTTCTCAAACAGCTCAATTCAGAATATCACTATCAGATCATATCCATTTCTAGTTCTCCAAATACTATAATGATCCATTGTGCTTCTAAACCTAATCTAACTGGTACAGTCTTTTCAGAGACAATATGTGATGTGTTAGAATGAAATACCAAGAGAGACTGTATGAAATTAAAGACTTTGTCTTTAAGTAGAACTTAAATTGGTGATATTTGAACCTCAAGCATTTTTTTCTTTATTTCCCTGATAGCTGCAAAAGGGAAATATCAAATGATGTGTGTTTATTGTGTGGTGGTTGGAGAAGAGCTGGGACACTTTATTTACCATGAAGATTCTAAGGAGCTCTTCTGAAAATATAAGATACTTTAAAGAAGGGAGACAAGCTAACAAAGAGTTTGGCAAGTAGCAAAACAACACAGAGAAAAATACCAAGCTTTTTCTCTATTTGTCAGCTGCAGTGCTTGGTAGGACAAGATGTGAATATTCTCTTGTACCTCATAGCTAGTTATTACTTCTGCTTGATATCAATTTCTATGGAAACAATAGATTAACCTACATGTGTGGAACTGTGTTTGTTTTTGTACTTGCTGTGAAATTACCATGCATTACCCACAGAACCATTTCATTCCAGTTGGAGCTGTGTGCATTTTTTTTGTTTGCTTTTGAAAGACCTAAAAAGCTGAAAATCCTTCCCCCAAACCTCCCTCGACTCCAAAGCCTTATAGGATGAACAGCAAGAAGAACAAAGCTTACTTCTTCCCATTCCGATGTGAAGGATGGTGTTCTTTCAGAATTCCCTTTAGAACTGTGTTCAGCAGTGGAAGATTCACTCCAGTTAACTCTTGATGTTTTCTCATTGGAAGGATAGGCAATGAGATCAGAATCAGATTTAGAGACATTTTTTGACAAATGCATGTCGATCAAGGCTTTAGGCAATGACCTTATTCTCCCCAGAGTACAGGCTCTCTCCACAAATCCCCCTGTATTCATAACCCACTGGTCCCCATTCCGAGATCCACTCCTGGTTGATCTTGTGCCAACAATGGTATGGTTTTCAAGTTGGTTGCTTTTTTTGTGAAAAATTGTTCTACTGACCACTTTGGGTTTAATTTTCTTTACCAAAGGTTCTGAGTTATTTTCTATTGGAGACTGCTTGAAAGGCAAAGGACTGTTTGCCAAACTGACTTCATCTTGTCTTTTTTCACATTGTTCTCTTTTCCCATAGAGGTGAAATGGATTTTCAGGGGACTCACAGGCTGGAGAGGATCCATGGAGCAGGCCTGCAAATTGCTCAGGATCATATTCTTTTGGGGGATCATTGTCATCCTGTTGAGAGAGGTCATCTGCAAAAGGAAGGAAGGGATATTAGGGTTTATAAAGGGTTCTGAAAGTCATGATATAATAGCAGTGCCCTTATGAACATGTGGGCATCCAGACATTTGATTTACTGCTACATAGCAATACCTTCACTTTTGAAATACCCATGACCTCACAGTGCCATGTATAGAATGAATGTATGAGTGTGTGTGCGTGTGTGTGCATGTGTGTGTGAATCATTCTTTCTGATATACCTTAGAGTTAATTTCAAAAGTATGAATTGTGTATTAATTGAGTGACTTCATTCTCTTCTCCCTTGAACCCAGGGTATATGTTTTATAGTCAATGAACAAAATTGAATTTTCTTAAAGTAGAACACATACATCTAAACTCTCACAGTAAATGAATCATCATGCAGTAGGACATTAGGCAGGTAAGTCAAGGTCATATATAATGACAACCCTCTGCTCTCCTCCCAGCAAATAAATTCAAAAATGAAATTTTGAAAAAAGGTATTATTAAAAGTAGTTTAAGTTTACTAATCCTGATCATATTACCTTAAATATAAATTAAAAATAATTCTATGCAGATTACATAATTTACACAAAAAAATTTGTTCAGACTTGATATAGGCAAACAATGCAATCCATAATATCAGAAAAAGAGAGACTCCGATACAAGAAACTAACTTTGAGCTATGAGCATAAAGGTAGCTTTTTCTTTCTTCTCTGAAATAGCATTAGCTATTTTCTAATTTCTTCAGACCTTTGAAGATATAATGCAGAAAAGAAACTGATGATGAATGATAATTTTTATTCCTTTGGATTTTTTTTCTAAGATAAAACATACATTTTCTCTGAGATTTAAAATACACTATGCTTTTTGCAATTTAATTTGTCTTTTAAAGACATACTGTGTAAAAACCTGGCCAAAGAATTTAGCAAAGAAAGTAAGTGCACTTTTTTTCAGTGTTCATTTTAATTCAAATCAATAGCTAAATGTTGCCAAGATCAAAATTTAAATTACCTGATAAGCCCATAACTCACTGTTGCAAAGAACTAAAGTATAGCAAATGTGGTACATAATGACAACAAGTCCAAAGCTGATTTGCTGATTCATACTTTCAATAAGCTAGTTATTACCATAAACCCCAAACACTAACATTTTTATAAATTAACAAGTAACATTTAATGGGTAAGTGCTATTTACTAGGCACTGAATGAGGAATTATATTTATATCATCTCACTTGACACCCATAACAATCCTATAAAGTGATTATTAATAATAATTACGATTTTGTGATGGAAAGACATGGCCAAAATATCAAATTATCATATTTTAAGAAATTGGCAACCATAATAAATCTCGTTAGACATTGGCTCAGAAGATGCTACAGACACATCTGCTCCTTAGAGTGAAGATTGGCCCCAGGCCTCTATACTGCTGTCTGCCTGGGAACTGGTAAAAGCAGGTATATTCCTAGCTATGTATCTCTAGACTTCACCCTGGTTCCTGCTTGATTTTTCCAAAGAGAAGATGTTTGCCTGCCCAGCTATCATACCAGCATCCTGAGATTGAAGAAAGAAGAGTGACAGGAAGAGATCCAAGAAACATGAATCTACAAAAGCAACAATCTGCACCCATCTACTACTATTATACTCAGCTGTCTTCTCACAAAAACAAAACAAAACAATAAAACCTCATCCCTTTCTAAAATAGCCACACTGTCTTGATAACTCCCTATTTTGTTTTCCTTTCACAACAGAGACCATTCTAGGGGTAGAATAGTGAGTAAATAGGGGGATAAGGCAGCTTTGAATTCTCTCTAAAGACTAGAGTTTATCACTGAGTATGTGCATTTTTAAGAAGTCAAAATTAACACTTAGACAACTTAAG